CTGGACTAGGAGAGACCCATCGTTGCATCTAGATGGCTGCTTGCAAGCTTTTAAGATCCCAGTTGCTACTCACCAAAGTAGGAGGTGGAACAATGAGAAACAGGATCTTAATTGCCGCCTGGTGGTTGCGTGTTTGTGCACTGGGAAGACAGCAAACTTCTGCAAAAGTGAATCACTGGGAACCAACTTCCAGCTAGAATAGGTTTTGAGCTGAGAATGAAACTTTTTGGGGATCCAAAAAGCCACTTGATTATTTATAGAGATCAGACGTTATGTTTGTGGGGAGGGATGGTCTTAAGTAGCCTCAGTCTTACTGTCGCTGCCGGAGTCCTGGTTCTGTCTGCAGCAGGGTGGCTGGGATTAGAGGGAGCTCTTCTCTGTCCCTTTGTTGGAGACTCCCAGGGGATTAGAGAGCAGAGCAAGGGGTGAGTGTTTGTCATTGAGGACTTGGCTGAACCCCTTGGAGCTCTGGGGACAGGGCCTTGAGGGGTCCCAGCTCCTGCCTGGTGTAAGCGGGGCCGGAGCTGAGGGGTGAGCACTTCGTGCTACAAACTTTACTCCCTCCCAGGTTGACCAGTTGGTGTGGAGTCGATTCCAACTCCTGGTAACCTCATGTGTGTCAGAGAAGAACTGTGCTCCATACGGTTAACATCCTACAGGCTACAGGTTCAAGTCCACCCATGGGCACTTGGAAGAACTCCCCAATCTACTCCTGAGAAATCAGCCAGTGAAAACCCTTTGGAATATTCTACATACAGGGGTTCATCATGACTGGGAATCAATTCAGGGCAGCTGGTTCCTCCCAGCTACTAAATTTTCCAGCTCACACACTTTCATACCAAAAAAAAAAAAAAACAAAACAACCACCCCAAACTCATTGCCATTGAGTGGATTCTGACTCATAGCGACTCCCACTGGGTTCACGAGGTGGTCAATCTTTAAGGAAGTAGATTGGCCGGTCTTCCTTATGTGGAGTGGCTGGTGGGTTTGAACCGCCAACCTTCTGGCTAGGAGTCAGATGCCTTCAGCACTGAGCATAGTTCCATTAATTTCATTCCTGAAAAGGGAAGGGTGTTAAGGTTCTCCTTTCACCAAGGAGGAAGTTGAGATGAAACTGGCTTCCCTGAGGCCACAAGGCTACTAAGGTGGTTCATGGGAGTGGGTAGAGGTGGGTGAAGTGATTTGGAGGGGAGTGGACGAGAGCTATCCTCAATAAAAATAAGCAGGCACGACACAATTTTATTGGCATAAAATTATACAGTGTCTGCTGCTAAAAAGAAAAAGGAAATAAATGCCAAGCATGCCTCTCCCTGCCCTAAACACAAAGGTGTGGAATGGCAGACACATCGTGACCATCAGTGAAAGGCTGGCTAAGCCGGGGCAGGGCCAGGCTCAGGGCTGCAGGGGGCTTTCCTTGCCTCCCCTCCATCTTAGGGATCAGTAAGCCAGAATGGAGTGGGGGCAGGAAAAATGTCTTGGCTTTGCAGGTGTTTTTTTTTTTTTTTTCCAGCAGTGGGTGAGGATGAGCCTGGTGTTAAAAAAAAAAAAGTCGAGTCCATTCCAACTCACAGCAACCCTATAGGACAGGGTAGCGCCCCTATAGGACAGGGTAGAACTGCCGCATAGGGTCTCCAAGGCTATAAATCTTTTCAGAAGCAAAGCCCAAACCAAACCCACTGCCACTCAGTGGATTCAGACTCACAGCGCCCCTAGAGGACAGAGCAGATCTGCCCTGTAGGGTTCCAAAGGAGCTCTGGTGACATAGTGCCCAAGGCATTTGACTGCTAACCAGAAGGTTGGCCATTCAAACCCACCAGCCACTCCTCGCAAGGAAGGCGGGGCAATCTACTTCAGTAAAGATTTACCATTTCAGAAACCCAATGCGGGTTGCTATGAGTCGGAATCTACCCCACAGCAGTGAGGTTTTTTTTTTTTTTTTTTTAAATAGGGTTTCAAGGCTGTCAATCTTCATGGAAACAGCTGCCTCATCTTTCTCCCTCGGAGCGGCTAGTGGGTTGGAACCGCCAAACTTTTTAGTTGGCAATCCAATGCTTTAACCACTGTGCCACCAGAGCTTCTTGGTATAAATAAAACATCAACAAATGTCCACTCATGTGCAAAGCTGCTCACTGCTCCTCTAGGATGCCTGTCCTTCCTTCATACCTCAGTCCCCCAGCCTCACTCTGCCTGTGCTGTTCTCCGCCCCTTCCCTTCCCCCAGCTCTCACGCCCCCGCCCCTCCCCAGTGGTCTGCTCCTGATATGCTTGGCTGGGTGAGGCAGGGCCTGCAGGAAGGCCGGCTTCTTAGTTTCTTAGTCATTCTGTCGGGCCATAGGTGGAAAATTCTAGTGCCGGTTGTGGCCCTCTCCCCCATCCCTCCCTCCCAGTTGACTGTGTCTCTGGCAGTGGGGGTGGGCTCTGGCCAATATGCTTCTGGATTGGAAAGCCTGGGCAGGGCTGCCTGGAGTGGGGAGACAGGTAAGAGGCTCCTGAGTGAGGAGGCTCTGCTGTTGGGGTGCCTACCCAGTCCTGGGCTAGTCCCTGGCCCCCTTGGGGCCAGTGGTGGGGGGAAGGCTGTGATGAGGTCATCGGCAGGAAGGTGCCTGTCAGTTATGGAGGGTAGGTAGTTCTCTGTTGTTCAGCCCACAAGTCTGTGTGTCTGCTCCTCACAGCCTTGTAAGGGAAGTCCCAGGGGGGAGTGGTCCAGCAGAAACCACCTGTGTTTTTGTTGGGGTGTGTTTGTATGGGGGAGGGGAAGAGAAGGGAGGGGGGATCAAGAGAATAAGCACTGATGCCTTCCTTTTGTCAACATGTGTCACTGCCAACTCTTAGTAGGGGACACAGATGGGTTTGTAGCTAACTTTACTGTCCCCACTTGTCAGATGGTTGGATGGCGCTAACTGTCCCAGCCAGGCCTGTGGTTCAGATGCCATCCAGGTGCGTGGGGCTCAGACATCTCTACTCATCCACCCCCACCTCCACCCCGTCACAGCACCCGATGATTCCACTTCAGGAAGTGGCAGGGCAGAACGTCTGGGTCAGAACTGGACACAGCCAGCCTGGGCTGCCAGGTGTTGTGGATGATGCTGGGGACATAGGGACACGTTGGAGCCCTGGTTCCCGAGATGCTTTCCCAGCAGGGTGGGGAAGACACACAGAATGACCACACAGAGGGTGAGGGACCCCTTGATCCAGCTGCAATGAGCCCAGTCACTCTCCCCCACAAGGACCCCTTCTGGGCCACTCAGCCTCCTACCCTGGACTGTTGTTGTTGTTGTTGTTATGTGCCATCGAGTCGGACCCAACTCATAGTGACCCCTCCATTGGTTTCCAAGGCAGTATCACTACGGAAGTAGATTGCCCAACCTTCCTTCCCAGGAGTGGCTGGTGGCTTTGAACCTCCAGCCTTCTGGTTAGCAGTCAGATGCCTTAGGCACTATGCTACCAGAGCTCCTTACCCTGGGCTAGGTCTTCCTAATCCTGGTCCCTTGCCCTGTGTTCACCTCCATCCTGTTTCCAGAGACATCTTCCTGAATGGTGTGTGGACATCCCTCAGCCTGGACCCGAGGCCTTTGTTCATCTGTGTGGCTTGGGCATAGTGTGTGTGTGTGTGGGGGGGGGTCAGGCACAGTTGGCTCCTGTCATGGTGACGGTGATGTTGGGACCTGAATCTTGAAGCCGAGGTTCTGACCCCCTGCCTCTCGCCCACACACACCAGTCAGACTGGATTCCTCACTGTTCCCAGCACTGCCTCTCCCCCACTGCGTGCCTCCTTTCCCTTGAATACTCTCCCGTGTCTCCCTGCACACCATTCACGGTGATTTCCATCTTGTTTGGTGCTCTCTGCAACACAGCGCAAGAGTACAAGGTGTTCAACACCCTTTGGGAGCTGTGGCACACAGGCCCCTCTGTTGTCAAGCCTCCCCACCCCCACCCTAGGCTGACTCCTCCTTGCCCTTTGAAGCGTCAGGAGACTTTATTCCCATCCTGGCTTTATCAGATGGCTCTGTGTATCTTTACAGAACAAACTGTTTGCTGAGCTGACGTCAGGAGGGTCTGGCCCCTGGTTTGCTCTTTGTGGTATCCTCCATTTGGTCTTGGCCATGCCGGCTCAGCCAGGTGGGAGCAGAGTCTATGGCCCTGAAGAGGAAGCAGCAGGCTTCCTCCTCTTTGCCCTAACGTGGGTCACTTCCATGGCCCCCTCAGGTAGTGAGAGATGGGGGGAGCCAGGGATGCACTTCATTCCCTGGAACTAGCCAATGCCGGGAAGATTGCCAGGAGGGCAAAGGCACTGAACCCCCACCACCATCATCATCACAGTGGATACCACCCGTGGTGGGGATGATAAGGGCAAGGATAACAGTAGTGACTCAAGGCTGGCTTATCTCTGACATGTCCAGGGTCCTTCCTTAGCCCCTTTCTCTGAGGGTCCCTACCCTGGATCCACCAGCCCAAGCCTGGGATAAGGGTGCGCTGGGCGAGAGAGGTGGTGGGTGGACCCTGGGTTTGCTGCCCACCCCTGCCCCGCCCATGGAGATCCTGGTGCCTCAGGGCTGTGACTCAGTGTCATCTCCTAGCTGACCTCAGCACTGAAGGGCGGGGAGAGGGCTGTTTCCTGGGACGGGCTCACCAGGGTAAGGGACCCAGAGGCTCCGGGCTGGGGCTCTACAGTGCCTCTGTTGGCTCCAGCTCAGGAATCCAGAGGAACTGGTCAGGGGACATCCCAGTGACTGAAACCCCTCCCTCTGCCCCCACCTGCCCTGCCAGGAGCCTTATAACCACCTGCAGCCGGAGGAGGAAGGAACTGCTCACCTTCTGGCTGGCTGGTGGCTGCTTTGTGTATCTGCCTTGAGAGAGACCAAGCTTCCGCGAGACCCTCAGTGACTACTCCGACTGGCTTTGTCTCAGGACTTCCCTTCAGACAGCGAGCGGCCTTCCTCAGTGCTGATCTTCCAGTCACCCAGAGCCTTCTTGGTCCCAGACCCCAACAGACGCTGAGCCATGGCCTCCATGGGGCTACAGGTGATGGGGATAGCGCTGGCCGTGCTGGGCTGGCTGGGCGCCATCGTGAGCTGCGCGCTGCCCATGTGGCGCGTGACGGCCTTCATCGGCAGCAATATCCTCACGGCGCAGACCACGTGGGAGGGCCTGTGGATGAGCTGCGTGGTGCAGAGCACCGGCCAGATGCAGTGCAAGATGTACGACTCGATGCTGGCGCTGCCGCAGGACCTGCAGGCGGCCCGCGCGCTCATGGTTATCTGCATCGTCGTGGCGGCGCTCGGCCTGCTGCTGGCCGTGGTGGGCGGCAAGTGCACCAACTGCGTGGAGGACGAGAGCGCCAAGGCCAAGACCATGATCGTGTCGGGCGTGGTGTTCCTGCTGGCCGGCCTGATGGTGATGGTGCCCGTGTCCTGGACGGCCAACACCATCATCCGTGACTTCTACAACCCGGTGGTGAACGCCTCGCAGAAGAGGGAAATGGGGGCCGCGCTGTACATTGGCTGGGCTGCCGCAGGCCTGATGCTGATTGGAGGAGGCCTACTCTGCTGTAACTGCCCACCTCGCACCGAGAAGCCCTACTCCGCTAAGTATTCGGCCGCCCGCTCTGCCGCGGCCAGCAACTATGTGTAAGATGCCACCACTCAGCTCTGCCTCTTCCAGCTTTGTTTTTCCCAAACTAAGCCTGGGACTCTAGGATGGCCTGCCATGGGCTGCTGACTTCTGGGGGCTGGGCACACAGGGACTGAGTCAGGCTACTGGCCAGCAGCCCCCAGTCTCCTGGCCCTTTTGGATACCCTGCAAGGCCCCCTCTGCACTAACAAGGATGGAAGCAAAGACCTCCGTGCCCCTATTCCTCTGACTGGCCCCCAGATATAGAGGAAGCTGCCAGAGCAACAGGGTGTGGCAGTGGGTGGGAGATAAGCTGGCTCCTGCTGGCCAGGATGGCTTAGCTTTGACCCTGCGAGCCCACACACCATGCCCTGTCCATGCCTATGATGGGCACCGTGCCTTGCTTTGACCTTGCGCAGGGAGGGAAGCTCAAGCTCGCATCGTCCACGACTCTCTGCAGTGCCTGCTACCATCCCCTGATCCAGCAGTGTGCCCAGCCTTGCCCCCTCTGCTGCGTGCTGGCGGGCGGCTGAGTGAATGAATGCTTGGGCTGTGCCTGGGTATTGAAACCCGGGGCCCTGAGAACTGCTGGGCCTCCGCCACCCACCTGCCGAGGGGCACAGAGTGGACAGATGGGTTTGGGAGGGGAGGGGTGAAGGTGCTACAACTGGTTTGGGTGGGTTGAGGGCACGGGAGTCGTGGTGGGCCAGGGCTGCTCCCACTCTTCCCACCCCCACCCTGCTGCCTCCCTGGACCCCTTGAGCCTGGCCACCTCCAAACCCTCTGCCCCTGCCAAGGACACTGGCCAGCCAAGGAGGGCCCGGGAGCAGCCTTTCTCTGGCTGCACCCCAGGAAGCCCTGGGGCTCCCTGCCTTCCATGTGGTTTCTGTTTTGTAATTTAAGGAGATTCATTCATCACTGTAATTATTATTATTTTCTACAATAAATGGGATCTGTGCACAGAAGCAATGAGGTATTTACTGTGTCTGTTTTGGGAACCGAGCGGCTGTGGGCAGAGGCAGGGCCAGAGCCTGAGGAGAGGCTGATGAGGGTGGGGTCAATGAGGGGCTCCACCTTTGCTTTGTTGCTGAGACTTGAGCACTTAAAATATTGGTTTCTGGGAATTATGAAAAATCAGAACTGGCCCCAACCTCTGGAGTCACTTTGTTCAAGCACTTTCTTATTTGGAGGTAAACCCTGCATGTGGGTGTGCGCCCAGGACTGCAGTAAGGTACAGGGCCATCCCAGGGGAAGGCAGATGGGAACACCCAGTTGGCGGCCCTCCCTCCTTCCTCCCACCTCTGTCTGGACAGCCAGGCTCTCCCTCTCTGGGTCACCCTACAGGTCCCACCTCAGGCTGTCCCTGCCCTCAGCCTGGAATGTCCTTTTTCCTTTCTCTGCCCTTCTGAATCCTGCTTGTCTTGAAGGTCCGGCTTTACACCGCCTCCACAGGACGCCTTCTCACGGTACCCAGACGCAGGACTCACCCTCAGTCCTGTCCTGTCCACCCCGCTGATGGTCACGAGCCCTTTCACCTGCCCCAGCACTCACATTCCAATCTCAATTCACAGACAGGGAAACTGAGTCTGGGACACGCGAAAATGTTTGGCCCAAGCCCTGATTGAAAGTTGGGCGCTATGGCTCTGGATCTGGACCCAGAGTCTGGGAGTCAGCAGACACTTGGCCTTGGACTTGACTCCCACTCTGCCTGGTCCCAGGGTGCACATGTCCCCACACTGCCCAGTGTTAGTTAGTGTTAGTGAGCATGCCTACTGCACCTGTTGAGTGTGCCAGGTTCAGCGTTGGCCTGGTGAGGGCACTCTCTCTGCTATAGCCTTCCCTGGGGTGAGAGAAAGAGTCTCTCCTCGGAGCTCATTTAATAGACAGAGCTTTCTTGAGGGGCAGGGCTGTACCATTTTACAGATGACGTAGGGGGGCCCAGCAAATGGACATAGGATCAGGGGCCTGGCACGGGCTAGGGGCTGGGCCTCGTCCCTTCAACCTGGGCTGCCTCCTGCTTTCGGTAAAGATAGACGATGCCTGAGATAAAGTTGTCCCCGGCAGAGGTGCCAGGCACCACCTCAAGCTCAGAGGTAGCCAGCTCCCACTGGTCCACAGGCCAGGCCACCAAGCGCTCCCACGCCCCAGCCTGCTCCAGCCCGTCCAGTGTGGCCTCCAGAGCCTCCTTAAATCGAAGGTTGGATGGGTTGGTTCTGGTGGTCAGACACACCAGCCCGCCTGGGAAGGGAGAAGGTAGGAGAACTGGGTGAGGGACCTGGGAAGCTGTCCCCCTGCTGCTCGTGTTTTCCAGGCCCTAAGTTCTTCCAGCTGTGTCCCCAGGCCAGTCTTTTCCCACCCCCATGGCCGTGATGCTCACAGTTCTCTCTCCCAGAAATGCAGCCTCCCATGCAGCCCCTGAAGGAGCCCTGGTGGTGTAGTGCCTAAGGCATTTGACTGCTAACCAGAAGGTTGGTGGTTCAAATCCACCAGCCACTCCACAGAAGGAAGACTGGGCAATCTACTTCTGCAAAGATTTACTGCCTCGGAAACCCAAAGGGGGTCAGTATGAGCTGGAATCGACTTGATGGCAGTGGGTTTGGTTTTGTTTTTGATGCAGCCCCCCGAGGCCCAGCCACTGGTCATTCCTGACTGAATCCTCAAAGAGGCTCCATCCTCTCTGACGCCCCCAGGCTCTCGTCTCCAGATTGTCTAGGGGCACTGGAAGTGGGAGGGAAGCACTTAAGCTTTGACCTTGGGTAGGTCCCTTCACTGCTCCGAGCCTCAGTTTCCCAGTTTGCAGAGGGGATGACTTCCTGTGAAACAGGAAGTCTGGGGTGTATGAAATGCCTGGTGCATTCGGATATCACTGGCTGAACAACAGGATGACCTCGTCCCTCAGGTCCTCCACCTCCCAGTGAGGTCTCAGATCTACTCTGAAGGAGGTCAGGGGAAGACCAGTGACTGGAGTCTGGGAAGCTTCCTGAAGGAAGTGGCGAGAGAAAGTGGGGTGCTCTCAGCAGTGGGGACACAATAAGAGGACAGGCGCCCCAGCAGGGGGTCTGTCACAGGGTGGGCGGGGCTGTCGGGTGAGGTGGGGTGGGCTAGAGTGGCAAGCACGGCTGGGCACGGAAGGCCCCGATGTTGCTGGTTCATGTTTTTAGGCCCTACCTTAAAATGTCCTGCTGAGCCTGCCAATGTCCTTTTGCTCACCCCAAGCCTGCCCAGACCTGTCCAGGCTTAGCCACACCCCTGCTGGGCCCAGGGGCTGGAGGCACAGGGGGTGGGGTGGGGGTGGTGATCACCCAGTGATAAGAACGTCCCTCTGACCCTCTGACTTCCTGTTTGCTATGGCCGCCAGTGCCTCACACCCTGCCATTCTCCATTAGCTTAAGTTGGAGGGACTGCCCTCACTCCTCATCCCAGATCCCAGCCCTCCCGGAGACCACTCTTCTCTGAATTCTCAGATCAATGAGCACTCACAGTCCTGGTGGCCCTGGGCCCTCTGGTCCCTTCCTGGGCCCCAGGGGTTGGTGAGCAAGTCCCAGAGAATGGAGTCTGTATCTTTTCCCCAAAGCACAGGGCTGGGTACACAGTAAATACAACCTATACCTGCACTTGACTGCTAACCAGAAGGCTGGCGGTTCAAACCCACCAGCCACTCCCCGGAAGGAAGGTTGGGCAATCCTACTTCCGTAGTGATACTGCCTCGGAAACCCAAGGAGGGGTCGCTATGAGTCGGGGCCGACTCGACGGCACATAACAACAACAACAACAACATACCTGCACATCAGCCCAGCTTGGAGTTCACAAATCGTGCTCTCCAAGGAGCCCCATTTCACAGATGAGGAAACTGAGGTTGGTAAAGAGAAAGAGAGACTTGTCTAAGGGTGGCCCACGAGCTAGAGAGGAAGCTGGAAGGTGACCAAACTGAGCTGAGCACCTACTGTGTACCACGGCTGAAGCAAAGGCCTTACAGACATTGTCACCCAGTTCTCACTGTCATCCTATGGGGAGGGATGAGGGCCACCCGTTTATAGGGAGGAAACAGAGGCTGGTGAGGAGAGTGCAGTTGGTCCCGGTTGCCCAAAGGAAAAGATCTGAGCTTGCTGCCCAATTGCCTGGTCTTGTTGATGGTGGCCACTGAGGCTGAGCCCTGGGCTAGTGCGTGGGATGCTAGGCTGTGAATATTGCATGACTCTGGGCAGAGCCTTGGCCCGCCCTTGGCCTAAGGGGTCTGAGGCTGGTGTGGAAGGGCAAGTGTGTGTATGGGATCACTCCTCACCTGGCTTGGTGACACGCAGGAGCTCAGGTACTGCACTGCAGGGCACCTGGCCGTCGCTGAGGGCACCCACCATCAGCACTGCATCGAAGGTCCCTGCGGTGGGGCATGGGGATACGGTGGGATGGTTTGTCTGTGGTGTGGCCTCAGGCCACCCTGGAGGACAGTGCCTCATGGCGGGGGGGTCTGGGGAGAGACAAGGGCTGCCACCAGTGTCTGCAGGACCCAGATCCCAAGGGGGATACGGCAGGTGCAGCCTACGTGTGGGCTGAGGTCAGATCGCAAGGTAGAGGGCTCACTGAGGGGGTTCCTGGGGACTCAGAGGATCTCAGTGAGGGGGTGGGAAGCCTACCAAGGGGAATGGGGGCTCACTGGGGGGGCTCATGGAGCACTCAGTAAGGGGGATGGGACTTAGAGAGGTGAAGGGGGGTTTGGTGAGGCCAAGTGGGTCTCAATTAGGGGACTGCGGGCTCAGTGAAGGGCAGGGCCTCATGGGGCAAGGGAGTAGGGATATAGCAAGAGAATGGGGCTTGGGGCAGGAGAGCCTGTGGCAGGTGGGCTTGGTTCAGTGGGCCTTGGGATATCAGATGGAGAGGTACCTTCAGGGCTGGGCAGAGGCTCCTGGCCCAGGGTGCAGAGGCTGAGGTGTTGGTAGAGGCCACGGGCCCGAGCCTGTTCCAGCATCCCCGTGCTTCCATCCACCCCGTGTAGCTGGAGGAAGCCCCGAGCCTGCAGCTAGAGGAAGCGTTCCAGTCACCCTTCATACCCTTCCACTCTCCAGCTGGGTCCTCATGCCTGGAGAGGGCAAGGGGTCCCACAGTGGATGTGGCCCATGTGTCTGAGACCAGTGAGAGCGGAGAGAGGGGAGGCAGCACGCTGGGGCCTCAGTGGTAGGACTTTCAAGAAGTGGGGGCCTGGCAGAGGGCAGGGGATCTGGGGAGGCCTCACCTCAGCAGCCACCAGGCCGGTGCCACAAGCCACATCCAGGATCAGGGCGGTGTGGGGCAGGCCTGGAAGGGCTTGAGTGAGGCAGTCCACAGCAAGCCGGGGTGCACGGTACTGCAGTGTGGCCACGTCCTGGGGACACAGTGCTGAGCCAACCACCACCCCATGTCCTGGGGTGTGGGGGGCTTCCTGTGTGTTAGTCTGGGAGTCAGCCAGGCCAAGGTGTGTGTGTGTGTGTGTGTGTGTGTGCGCGCGTGCACACATTGGTGACTCTGGCCCTTCTAGGGCGACAGGGAGGGGAAGCCTGGTGGAGAGTTAAGCTCCCTCTCAGGGACCTTGGCTGGCCAAGGTGGCTCTCTCTGCTTAGTCCAGAGTGACCCTCAATGTCACCTCCTCCAGGGTACCCTCTGGCTGCGCTGTAGCTCAGGGTGGGGAGGGTTGGTCCTTGCTCTCTGAGGGTGGGGCTGGTCAGGAGGCAGGGCTGCTCTGGGTGGATAGGGGAAGGGTCAGTCTATAAGGGGGCAGGGTTTCCCTTCATTCTCACAGCTGTCCTGGGACCTAAGGGTAACTGGTCATTCCCACTTTACAAACGGGAAAACAGTTTGGGTGAGTAGAGGGAGGCAAGGCTCCAGGTGGGTTACCTGGTCGTAGTCTGGGGCCCAGCGGTCATAGAAGTGGAGTTTGCAGGCCAGGTCGGTGATGCCGTGCGAGGCCCCAACCCGCGCCTGCACCTCCGGCAGCCTCCCGCCCTCCTCCTGCGCCATCCTCCTGTGGGGGGACAAGGCCTCCTTTCCCCTCCAGCCCCGAGACCCCTTCAATCTCCAGCCCCACCCCACTCCCGCCCCACGCCCTGCAGGGCAGGCGGCAGACTCTCCCCTCCAGGCCACCAGCGCCAGCCCCTCATTTCACAGGCGGGGACACTGAGCACACAGAAGGCGGGACATCGACACGCTAGGACGCAATGCTGGGGACAGGGGTGTTCCCTGTAGCGAGAGGGTCTCTAAGGCTGTCAGGGTCAGGACTCACCGCCTATCAGCCCTCCCAGGACCTCCGGAACTCGGGGCGGGGCTTGCACATAGAACCTGGCCCTGCCCACCCGTCGCCCTCGATGATTGGCTTCCTGCTAATCGAAAATGCCCAATCAAAAGAAAGCACTGGCAGCCCGCGCGCCACGCCCCCAGCCAGTGAGCTCAAGGTCGTCAGCCAGCCAGCCTCCAGCCTGGGAAGGTCCCAGACTCAGAAGTAGCGCTTTCTCTACCATCCTCCCTCCACTGCCTTCTGAGCTCCCAACATATTTTAGGTTTCCTAAAAGCATGGACTTTTAGGCAGTGGGGAGATTCTGAACTTTTACGGGAAGGAGAGGATCAGCCTTCATTTTCAGAAGGCTCACCCATGTCTAGCAACGCTGCCCAGGAGAACTTTCTGTCCTGATGGAAAAGTGCTACAATCTACTCTGTTCAATACGGTAGCCATGAGCCACATGTGGCTGTTGAGCCCTTGAAATGTGCCTAGTGTGAGTGAGGACCAGAATTTTAGATTTATTTCATTTCAATGGCTGTATGTATGCTTAGTTAGGAGCCTTGGTGGCACAGTGGTTAAAGCATTGGGCTGCTAATAAAAGTGGTGGATGGTTCGAACCCAACAGCTGCTCCATGGGAGAAACACATGGCAGTCGGCTTCCTAAAAATTACATCCTTGCAAGCCCTATGGGACAGGTCTCTTCTGTCCTCTAGGGAGACTGAGTCGGAATCAATTCCATGGCAACTGGTTTGGTTTGTGTGGCTCAAACTCAAACTCACTTCCATTGAGTCAGATCTGACTCACAGCGACTACTCCTTGGGTTTCCGAGGTGCTGTCACTATGGAAGTAGATTGCCTGATCTTCCTTCCGAGGAGTGGCGGATGGATTTGAACCTCCAGCCTTCTGGTTAGCAGTCAAATGCCTTAGGCACTATTGGGCAGTGTAGGTCGGTTAGAGCACCATCTCAGCCTCAACAGCTTGGGTTACTTCAGGGGACATCCTTGAAATGCCAATTCTAATTCCAACCCAGAAGCATTGCCTCCAGGACCTGTGTACTGGATTACAGTTTGGCAGGCAGAGGTTTTGGGAGGCTGTTGCAGTTGTCCAAGAGGGAGGTGATGGTAGCATCAACTCAGGGAGAGGTCATGGCACTGGAGAGGAGTGGATGGACTTCAGAGATATTTAGGAGGTAGAAACAACAGGGCTTTGATGATTGACAGAGTGTATGAATGGGGAAGCGAGATGTCAAGATGATGGCCAGGCTTCTAGCTTGAAGGTGCTCTGGTGGCATAGTGGATAGAGCACTTGACTGCTAACTGGTAGGTCAGTGGTTCAAACCCACCAGCTGCTCCACGGAAGGAAGAAGGCTCTGATTTACTTCCCTAAAGATTTACAACCTTGGAAACTCAATAGGGGTAATTATGAGTCGGAGGAAGGACTCGAGGGCAGTGAGTTTTTTTTTCCCCCTAGCTTGAGAACTTGGATGGCTGTTGGTGCCATTCATAGCAGGGGACATGAAGGAGGAAAAACAGGTTTGGCGTTGAAGAGGCTATTAACAGTTTTGGGCAGGTTAAGTTTGAGGTGTCTGTCTGTGATGTGTCTAGGTGAAGATGTCCACCTACCTGGCTGTTTGATGCAGAATTTTGGAGCTAAGGAGAGAAGTGGGTTCTGGAGACACCTTTGGGACCTGAGTGTAATTGGTGGTAGCTGAGGCAGCTGGTAAGAGTGAGATTGTATAGGGCGAGAAGAGGGGGAAGAGAGGAGAGGGCTCAGGACCCAGTCTGCACCCCAACACTTCAGGGCAGGCGGAGGACAAGGAGTGGCTAGGGATGTTGGAGAAAATCTAGAGAAAGGAAGTGAGGAAGGAAGCTGAGAACAGAGATACTGTATTTTAAAAAGAAACCAAAACCAAACTCACTACCATCAAGTTGATTCCGACTCATAGCAGGTTTCTGAGGTGACAAATATTTATGGAAGTAGATTGCCCAGTCTTCCTTCTGCAGAGTTGCTGGTGGGTTTGAACCGCCAACCTTCAGGTTAGCAGTCAAATGCCTTAGGGACTATGCCACCAGAGTTCCCAATAGAAAAAGAAGAAATAAAATAATCCCTATTTGCAGATGGCATGATCCTATACATAAAAAACTCAAGAGACTCAGCAAGAAAACTGCTGGAACTAATTGAAAGGTTTAGCAAAGTGGCAGGATACAAGATCAACATACAAAAATCAATTGGATTCCTCTACATCAACAAAGAGATCTTTAAAAATGAAATAAGGAAAATACCATTTACAATAGCTACCAAAAGATAAAATACTTGGGAATAAATGTTAACAGGGGTACAAAAGACCTATACAAAGAAAAGTATAAAAGACTACTTCAAGAAATGATAAGAGATCTACATAAATGGAAGAACATACCATACTCATGGATAGGAAGACTGAACACTGTGAAAATGTCAATACTACCCAAAGAAATCTATAGATTCAATGCAATCCCAATCCAAATTCCATCAACATTCTTTAAGGACTTGGAAAAACCAATCACTAACTTTATATGAGACCACAACTGGACCAATGAGCAGCATCACAATAAATGGAGAGAAAATTGAGGTTGTCAAAGAATTCACGTTGCTTGGTTCTACAATCAATGCCAACAGAAGCAGCAGTCAGGACATTAGACGACGTGTAGCATTGGGAAGGTCAACCGTGAAGAACTGTTTCAAGTGCTGAGGAGCAAGGATGTCTCCTGGAGGACTAAGGTGTGCCTGACACAAGCCATGATATTTCCAATCGCCTCGTATGCATGTGAGAGCTGGACAATGAATAAGGAAGACCAAAGAAGAGTTGATGCTTTTGAGCTGTGGTGCTGGCGAAGAATGCTGAAAGTACCATGGACTGCTAAAAGAACTAACAGATCTGTGGAGGAAGTGCAGCCAGAATGCTCCTTGGAAGCAAGAATGGCCAGACTTCGTCTCACCTATTTTGGTCATGTTGTAAGAAGGGACCATTCCCTGGAGAAGGATGTCATGCTTGGTAGGGTGGAGGGTCGACGAAAGAGGGGGAGGCCTTCAATGAGATGGATTGACACGGTGGCTGCGATGATGGGCTCAAGTATAGCAGGGATTGTGGGGCTGGCGTGGGATCAGGCAGTGTTTCGTTCTGCTGTGCATGGGGTCGCTATGAGTCGGAAATGACTCGACGGCACTTAACAACAACAACAACAACAAACTTTATATGGAAAGGAAAGAGAGTACGGATGAGCAAAGGACCATTGAAGAAGATCAAAGTAGGCGGTCTCACACTCCCCAATCTCAAATCCTACTATACAGTCACAGTAGTTTAAACAGCCTGGTATTGGTACAACCATAGACACATAGACCAGTGGAACAGAATTGAGAACCCAGAAATAGATCCATTCACCCACGGACAGCTGATCTTCGATAAAGGGCCAAAGCCCAATTCAATGGGGAAGAGATAGTCTCTTTAACAAATGGTGCTGGCAGAACTGGATATCCATCTTCAGAAAAATGAAACAAGATCCATACCTCATACCATACACACAAATGAACTCAAGATGGATCAAAGATCTAAATGTAACATCCCAAGCTATAAAGCTCATCAAAGATAAAATAGGGGCAAACTTAGGGGGCGTAATTTATGGCCTTAATAGACTATCAGACATATCCCAAAATGCACAAACAGCAAAAGAGAAACTAGATGATTGAGATTTTCTCAAAATTCAATTCTTATGAGCATCAGAAGACTTCTCCAAAAGAATAAAAAGAAAACCTACCAGATTGGGAAAAAAAATATTTGGCAAGGACATATCTGACAAGGGACTTATCTCCAGAATTTATAGAAAACTTCAGCACCTCAACATCAAAAAGACAAACCATTTCAAAAGATGGGCAAAGGACATGAGCAGATACTTCACTAAAGAAGATATTCAGGGAGCCAACAAGCACATGAAGAAAGGATCACAATCATTATGCATTAAGAGAGTTGCAGTCAAAACAAAAATGAGATACCATCTCATTCCAGAAACAATAGCTGGAACAACACAAACACAACAACGTGTACAACATGACCGAAAACAACAAATGCTGGCGAGGGTGTGGAGAGATTGGCACTCTCATACGCTGCTGGTGGGACTGTAAAATGATACAACATCTGTGGAAAATAGTGTGGTGCTCCCTTAAAAGTGGGAAATAGAAATACTGTTTGATCCAGTGATCCCATTACTAGGAATATATCCTAAAGAGGTGAGATCCAGGACACAAATAGATACATGCACACCCATGTTCATTGCAACACTATTCACAACAGCAAAGAGAGGGAAACAACCTAAGTGACCGTTAACAGATGAATGGATAACTAAACTATGGTATATACACACAGTGGAATACTACGCAACACTAAAGAATAATGAAGAATCTGTGAATCACCTCATAATGTGGATGAAATTGGAGGACATTACGCTGAGTGAAATAAGTCAATTAGAGGAGGACAAATACTGTATGAGTCCATTATTGTCAAAAGTTAAGGAAAGGTTTACACAGGGAAGGAAATTTTCTTTGTTGGTTACCAGGGATGGGAGGGGAGTGGAAGGGAGGGAAAACAGGTAGATAATTAACCTGACAGGTTTGATATGGGTGAAGGGAAAAGCAATATACCAAAAGCATGTGACTAGCACAGTATCATTAAGGAAAAGGAAGACATGGAGAGGTGCATAAGAGGTACAGACAA